GCGGTGGGGAAGAGTCAGAAATCTTAAATAAATAAATAAATAAATAAATAAATAAATAACAGAAACCTCACAGAAAGTCCAAGGAGTGCTCGGCATTTCCTTCCAGCAGCAATTGTAAAGGAAAGAGTGAGTCGAAATTAGAATCTAGGGAGACCCGCAAAGTCTAAGGGAAGTCCCCAAACAACCAATGGGACACTATCAGCCTCTTAAGCAGACCCCTCCTTCAGAAGACTGTCAAGCAATGACCTGAGGCTCAAAGTGTCAGGAAGATATTTCCAAAACAATAGAATTCAAACAGAATAGTTTTCACACATACATTGTAACCAAATGTCCTCACTACCTCTTTAAAGACAAAGATGCTTTATGCTGGGGTCACTCATCTTTTATTTGAGTTAATCAAGTCTCAAGCATTAGCATTCAAGTATCACTTTCAGGATGCTTACCTTATCTGGATCTCACCTGTACTATTTCTTATTTGTCAAATATCAGTCTCTCAACTGACTGCCTGTATTTTTAATAATAATGTCTACAAAATCAGTTTTGAGACATTAGGGGTTTTTTCCCCCAAAATCTAAGTTAAAACAAGTAAATTTTTGTTCTATTTATATGTATATTAAATAGTTTGGAGGCTTGCTTTTTAAGTGGTCCTCTGCTTATCAAATCATCTTATACCAAAGTTTAGGAAAACTAACTTGTTACATATCATTTTGTTAACTTGATAATTGCTAAAATCTGTGAGAATTAGAAGGGAGTAATTTGAGAATTGGCTGCATAATTGTGATGCAAAAGGTAGAGTCAGATTGATTGAACTTAATTGACCATATTAATTGCAATGCTCAGACAGGAGATTGAAAAAGAAGGAAAAGGGTAAAAAGGACTACCAGAATTTATTGTGATGTTTTGCCAGTACTATCTTCCTCACTAGCAATCCTTGCTGCTTGCTTCATTGTGAGCACCTGCATGCACACTATGTGTAAAACGTCAAGCTCCACAAGAGAATATGCCCATAACTAGAGACAGGGGTCCTAGCACATGGGCAGATGTCAGTAACGTAAGTTCAGATAGGCGAGTACAACTTCCATCTCATAGATGAGAAAACTGAACTCACTTGCTCAGGTTCACCCTAGCACAACAGGACTGACACTTAAGCCTCACATCTCTTCATCACTGGGCTACAGCCAGGAAAGCAACAAACAGCAAAAAATAAGTCATACATTTAAATTTTGATTTTCAGTTTAGACAAAGTTTTATAAAGTCCCAGCCTGATTTGAGCTCACTATGTAGTCAAGGCTTACCTAAAACTCCTGATCCTCCTGTCTCCGCATCCCAAGTGCTGGGATTACAGGCTTGAGTCATAACACTTGGCTCAGCTATCATTTTAAAATAATAATAAATGGGGACATTTTCTTTGAAAGGCAATACAATATGTTAATTAGAAAGTCAAATCAGGCTGGGGAGATGCCTCAGTGTCTGAAACACTTACTATGCAATCCTGAGGACTCATGTTCAGATCTTAAATTCAGATCACTAAAACTTAAGTGAAGACTAGGCAAACCAGGTAATTCCAAAAGAGATGAGTTCTCCCAGGCAGGTCGGGAGATGTGAAAGTTCCAGGTTTAAAAAAGACCCCATCTCAATTAAGTGGCGGGCAATCAAAAAAGACACTGGAAATCAACACCCAACCTTCATCCACACCTGCACACACCAGTGTGCCAACACACATTTTAAAGTACATACAGGCATCCTCGTGCACAAACACAATGTGCAAAATAAGCAAACAAGTAAACAAGTCAATAAAAAGTCATATTCTCAGACTTAAATCCAGGCTCTACTACATGCCTGACACATTATCTTGACTTAAGCTTTGCTTTCCAAACCTCAAGTCCCTCAGCTGTGAACTACGGCACGAATAGACCCTATCTTAGGAGGTTCTCTTTAAGACCTAATAGCCTTCTCCTCCTACACTCATGAAAAGCACCTGGCACTGCCTGTAATTTAAGTATTTTGCTGGGCTTACTATGGACAGGTTACCTACATTCTACAGACCAAGTACATCACACACCTCATGTATGTCTTCCAGGAACCTGTGAGGTTAGGTATTAGTTTCATTTTGCTCTGGAGGAAACACAAGTCCCAAAAGTTTAAGTCATCTGTTCAACTTCTAGGCGAAGAAGTAGGGGGTGTGGTTCTAACAACTCCATGAAACATTGCCTCTAACCATACCCACACTTCTTAACTGCTGGCAGAGGAAAGTCACAGGAATCTCTTTGACAGAAGTTTTTCATACACCAACCTAAAAATACTTAAACTTGAGGCAGTCTTTAAAGTACTAAACTGATGTGATCGTCTTGGAAAAGCCCAATGCCTCAATAACTTTTGGACACGGTCACGGGTGTCAGGTTCAGTTCCCAACCTTCCTCTACACGCCAAAAGCTAAGTAATGTTTCAGATACCGCCTAACTTCTCACAGTGGTAGCAAATGAGTGGGTACCAGTAACACGGAATGTGATTCCTTTTTAAAAACATGGGTATTCTGCTCATCAATTAGGATTGACCCAAGGACGCCTGGCTCTGCCCTAAGTTAAGCACAGGTGGGGCGGGTTCTGAAGAGTTCCACCTGCTCCGAGTGGTGCAGATCCCGGGAGCTAAGCAGCAGGCGACCAAGTCTTACGCAGCTTTTACTGACAAGAGAGATTCTCAGGCAAACTACAGTTTGGCCTCCTCCGGAGATCCCCACTTGTGGAGCCAATTGTTCAGATCTCTTTTCTGCCACATAGTGTCGCAAAATACCATTAAACAGGGCCTCAAGGGGTTTCCCAGAGCCAACGTGGGCGATCTCCAACCTCAGTGCCCATTCAGACTCCACAAATAGCAGGGTACGCCACTGGTACAAGCTACCCCGCCCAAAAGGAACCAAGAATGCCACCTCAAGCTCTCTCGGGCCACCTACAAGACCGGGTGAATTCGTGTGCTTCTGACGTCTGGGGCCAAGGAGTCCGCTCGCTGGCGGCCCGGGGTGCCCGCACTCCCCATCAGTCGCCCCTACTCCGGCCGCCCATCCTGGGACGGGCCTGCCAAACAGCAACCGCCGCCCGCGCGGCTAGCAGCCTTAGGTCGCAGGGACCCGGGACGCGCACACCCGCCCTCTAAGCTCCTTGGCCAGCTCCAGCTCGGGCAGTACCGGTTAGGACGAGGTGGAACGCCGAGAGCGGCGCGAGCGGCCGGTCAGAGCTCCCGGAGACCCCGAGGAAGCTGGACAGAGGGGCCGGGCCGTACCTGTCGCGCTGGGACCCGCCGCTCCGAGTGACGCGCCACGCAGTGCATTCTGGGGCTGGGAGTGGCCTCCCCGCGGGGTTGCCCAACGTGGCTGGTGCGGGCGGAGCTCGCTCGGACCAATCGGGCTCTGTGGGAAGGACCCAAATGATCCGCCCCCTTCCGAGGCCCGCCCCCGTCCCCGCCCCCTCCAGCGGAGATTGGCAGGTTCTTGTACTCCTGCACCCAGAGAATGCTAGTCTCCTGAGAACAGAATTATGCTGTCCCTCGGAAATAAGGCTAATCTCCTTCACCTGCTCTTTTGTGTCTGGAAGCAGTTTAATGCGCCACACGGGACAGAGGAAAAGCTCTCTCTGGTGAACAGAGAAAGGACCTTCCCCCGTCAGCCACGACACAAAGAAACTTTCCAAGACAGACGAATGCCCAGTAGCCTCTCCTAGCCTTCTCGAGGTCATGTATTATTGAACAATACTGACTGTCTATCAAGTGGCAAGCAGCATGTTAAGCATGTTATACAGGAATGTACACAGTACTCCTTTTAAGCTGTAATAGGAGCAAGAGGCATTAGACTAACATTGTTACAGAAATATACATTGTGATTGGTACAGTGAAGAAAAAAATTAATAGGCACAATGATGAATTAATTGAGGAGTGTCAGGGAAGAACTCCCCGAATAAGTGCCTTTTAAGGACAAGGCGTATTAAGGTACCTTTAAGAATGTTCTAGACCCAGGAAACATGGTTTCTTAGAGTTTGGATTGTTCTAGGAAGATGTGCTGATTGGTATCTGTCAACTAGATACAAACCTTAACATAGATGGAAGAGGGAATCTTAATTGAGAAAATGCCCCTGTAAAATTGGCCTGGGGGCAAGTCTGTAGGATGTTTCTTTGATTGGTAATTGATGTAGGAGGGCCCAGCTCATTGTGGGTGGTGCGACACCATGGCAGGTAGTCCTAGTTTGTACAAGAAAGCAGGCTGAGGCCTGGAGAGATGGCTCAGTGGTTAGGTGCACTGGCTGTTCTTCCTAGAGGACCTGGGTTCAATTCCCAGCACCCACATGGCAGCTCACAACTGTCCGTAATTCTAGCTCCGGGTGATCTGGCATCTTCACACACACACACACACACACACACACACACACACACACACGTAGGCAAAACACCAATGCACATAAAATAAAAATAAGTAAGTCTTTAAAAAAAGAAAAAGGAAAAAAGAAAGCAGGGTGAGCAAGTGATAGGGAACAAGCCAGTATCAGGACCCTCCATGGCTTCTATTTGAGTTTCTTCCTCCAGATCCTTGCCTTCAGTTCCTGCCCTTCCTTCAGATGAAATAAACTTTTTCCACCCTAAGTTGGTCACCGTGTTTAATCTCAGCAATAGAAATCCCAAAACAGGGAGTATGTAGGAGCAAGAAGTTTAGGCTGAGATAAAGCAAGGACTAAACTCTCTTTGGCTACTTTATACACAGTTCAGACTGTACTCAGCAGAAACTCTAAGAACAATGAGGAGCTAATAAAGACTGTTAAGTGGGATCTGATTTACATACTTTAAAGCTCATTCTACTGTTTCTGAGGAATAGATTGTTGGAGGGCAAAGAGGGTTGCAGATGGGTCAGTTTGGAGGCAGTTGTATTGGTCAAGGCCACAAATTATGGCATCTTAAATTAAGATAATGGCAGTAGAGGCAGAAAGAGATGGATACTTTCAAGATATGAATAAATCATAGACGGAATTCATGGGACTTAATGGACTGATTTTTGGAGCAGGTCAAAAAAAGAGGAATATTAAAGATGGCTTCTGAGGTAACTAGATTGGTTCAGAGGCCATTTAGATTCAAAAAGAGTAGCAAATGTATGGGGCTATGTTAAATTTGAGAGACCTATAAATGGGAATGTCAAGAAGCAGTTTTGGATAAGTATGCCTAGGGTTCAGAGGGAAGATCTGAACTAATTATGCATTTGCCAGTTCTTAGTAGGAATTAACATAGAATTCCACTCTGAGATATACTTTCAACAGAAATGGATTCGTGTGTGTGTGTATATGTGTGTGTGTGTGTTTAGAATAAATATGTGATAGACTATTCACATAGTATAAAGAAAAAGAACAAATAATCCACAGCTATATACAAATCATAAGACTGGACTAAGCCAGACACAGAAACACATGTTACATGACTCACTTATATAATACTTTAAAACCACTATATAGTTATCAAAGGCAGGATGTTGGTTACCTTCGGGTGGTATTACTATTAAAAGGAAAATTGGTGTTCTTCTTGATCTGGACACTGTTATTCATTGTGACCAATTAACAAAACTTCCTTAAGTTTTTGGTGTATAAAGTTGATGTCTTTAAAGTATTAGTGGCAATTCAGACACACATATGCCACTATTATCAAACTAAGTCTTGGAGCATGATCATAAGAAAACAAGACCGTGTCTGAGAAACAAGGGCTTGCAGGCATTTTCCAACTCCAACATCGTCACACTATGCTCATAGAAAGAAGTCAACAGTCTGATCCTCCAGATTTCCCCAGATTGCTTCCTGGGATTAATTATGGAAGCACAGGCTAAAAGGGCACCAAGCAGAGTTACAGCCTCACAGTAAGGAGGGGATGGAAATTAGAATTAAAAGAGCTTTAATTTGAGAGCAGAATACCAGAGAAAGAGCGCTGGAAATACACACGAAGGTTCCCTTGGGCCTGCATGTGGGCTTAAGGAGCAACTCTGAGACTGGCAAAGAGCAGCTACTGGGGAATTTAAACTGAAACAACCGCTAGAGTTTCGGAGGATTCAGATACATGCAAGATCTGACTAATGAGGCCAGGAAAAGAAAAAAACTCATTAGAAACCTAAAGCATTTGGTAGAGAGACCCGAGACAAGCCACACTTTGGAAATAAGGCTAATTATCCCCCCAAATAACACTGAAAAACTGCTCCTCAAATCATTTAAGTACTTGTCTACAAGAAATTTAACTCTTAAAAGAAAGACAGGATGGAGAGGTGACTCAGCAGCCAGGTTTTGGTTCCCAGCACAGACACGGTGGTTTTTCTTTTAAGCAGTTTAGACACTGCTGAAAGTCAAAAAACAAAACAAAACAAAACAACAATAACAACAAAACAGTGCAAAAATTATCTCTATTTCCACACAAAATTGGAGAGATGGCCCAATCAGCATAGGCTCTTGCTGTGAAAGCTTGATGGGATGAATTAGAATCCTGGGACCCATGTAAAGATGGAAGGAGAGAACTGATCCACAAGTTGCCCTTTGACCTACACGTGTGCATGTGCGTGCACGCACGCACACACACACACACACACACAGTATACATATATACTAATGTTAGCTGGGCCTGGTGGCACATTCTTTTAATCCCAGCACTTGGGAGGCAGAGTTAGGCACATCTTTCTCAGTTTCAGAGCCTGGTCTAAATAGTGAATTCCAGACCAGCTTGGACTACATAGTGAAATTTTGTCTCGAAACAAACAAGCAAATAAATAGCACAAGAAACTAACAAAGAAATAGATCTATGCTGCAAATAGAATCCAAAGCTAACAAGTAATACTGACTTCACACTTCACATCAGAAAGAAAGAAAGCCAAACAGCAGAACAAAGTCTAAAGTTCTGAAAAAAAAAAAAAACCTCAAATTTGCTGTCTGACAAAATTCCCTCAAAAAATGAGTAGGAAATAATGACGTCTGGCAAACAAAGAAAAATGAGAGAATTTGTTGTTACGATACCTGAAATTCAATGAATGTTAACATTGTCCAGACTAGGCATGGTGGCACATACTGTCAATCACAGTACCTAAGAGGTGGAGACAGGAGGATTGGGAGTTCGTGAACAGTTTCAGTTACATATCCACCAGTTTTTTATTAAAAAAAAAAAAAAAGGAAAGAAAAGCTTTCAAGTTAAATAAAAATTCTAAGCAGAAACTCAAAAAGAACCCAAAATAGGACTGGAGAGAAGGTTCAGTAGTGAAGAGAACGTGTTCTTGTAGAGGACCGGGTTCAGTTCCCAGCACTCACATGGCAGTTTTCAGCCATCCATAAATCCAGCTCAGGGAATCCAGTGCCCTCTTTACAACTCCACAGGCACTAGGCATGAGCATGGTGCACAAACAAACATGTGAACAAAATACTCATACACAAAATAAATCAAAACAAATAAGAACCAAAAATAATCTTATGAACCAAAAATAATTGTGTGAAACTAACGATTATTGTGAAATTATAGAAATACACATAAAGGTTCTTTAGAATTTTTTCTAATATAATCAGCCATTTAAATTAAATATATGTCAGCATCCTCACAAAGGAATGGGTAAGATACTTGTAGCTCAGCATCTATGGAGACCAGTGATGAGACCACCAGGGCCCTGTAACCCAAAGATGCTCAAGTCCTTTATATAAAATGTGCATATCTTCTTTACACTTTAAGTCACCTCTAGTTTACTTATAATAAATTATACAGAGAGGTCACATAGCTAGCTACTAAAACTTGTTGTTTGGAGAATAAAACTATACATACTTAGTATGATGAAATTTCCACCTAAATATCCTAACTTTGCAATTGGTTGAATCCATGGGTACAGGGCATACAAGTATGGAAATTTGAGTGATACAAAGTTCTTATGAAGGGCTGGAGAGATGGCTCAGCGGTTAAGAGCATTGCCTGCTCTTCCAAAGGTCCTGAGTTCAATTCCCAGCAACCATATGGTGGCTCACAACCATCTGTAATGAGGTCTGGTGCCCTCTTCTGGCCAGCAGGCATACACACAGAATATTGTATACATAGTAAATAAATAATAAATATTTTAAAAAAAATTAAAAAAAAACAAAGTTCTTATGATACACATAAAGTGATATAATATATTTGAATATAATACAAGTAAAATAGAGGTACCCAAAAGCTTATTAGTTGTTAAATGGAGTGCCAGAGACTAGAGATAGAGTGCAGAGGGTAAGAGTACTTGTTGCTCTTCTATAGGCCCTTCTATAGAACCCAAGTTCATATGTA